ATGACTTCAGGAAATTAAATGAGAGATCACAAGACAAACTATTGGACACACCTGACCCACACAGAGCAATGGCATTCTTACCAGCGTCTCATAAATGGTTTACCACCATTGATTTATGTAACGCATACTTCTGCATCCCATTGCACCCTGAGTGCTGGAAGTATCTGGCATTCACAGTTGAGGGGAAGAAGTATGTGTATACGCGTTTACCACAGGGTCACTGCGCTGCACCTGGGATCTTTAACAAATTGATCCAGGACGTGCTCTCTGAGATTGACATTGACCCAGACAAAAACTTTGTTCTGGCCTATGTAGATGATATTCTAATCTCAGGAGTATCTGAAGAGGCATGTACAGAAATCACTATGAAAGTCCTTAGAGTAGTGGCAGAAAAGGGATTCAAAATTGATTATGACAAGTGTGCATTTGTAAGACAGAGAGTATCTTTTCTAAAGACTTATCTCACTTCAGAAGGAGTCATGTGTGACCAGTCAAGACTGATCAAACTATCAGAGTTTCCCAAACCAAAAACAGTGAGAGAAATGATGTCCTTCATAAATACGGCAAGCTATATCAGGAAATATATTTTCAACTTCTCCTACATGATGAAGCCCTTGCAGAAAATGTTGATTGATGTAGGCTACACAGATTATGATGGGATCTTGACATGGACTGAGGAGCAAGCACAGGCATTTCAATCAATCAAAGAAAAACTATCAATGGTGCAGACTTTACACTGCGTTGATAGGAAATACCCAATTATGATGGAAATCACAATGACTGGAGATTATTATTGTGCAGTGTTGTTTCAGAAAATAGCAGATGCACCCAAAATATTGTACATATTCAGCTCCAATCTCAGAGGATCAGAAGCACACCACTTCTCATGTGCACGTTATGTAATGGCCCTTAAGAACTCACTGGTTTCCACATCACACATAATCTTGGACTCAGAGGTGATAGTGAGGACGCCACATAACATGTATGCAGCTTTGAAGGGGAACACATTTGCATTGACAAATTCAATGTCTCAAAAGATTCATCTGTTACTCGTAAATATGCAAGTTACATTTGAACCAACAGACTCTCCAATATTACCATTTACTATCTCAGGCCCAGTTCACCAGTGTGAGGTCCAACATAGTGAAGAAACAAACTTGATCAAAAAGTTGGGCAGGTCAGAGATTGAGGGGTCACATGCTATTTTTATAGATGGACACTCGCATAGAGACAAAACTGGAGCATTGGTTGCAAGCGCAGCAGCAGTCATCCATGACAGGGAAACATCACCTGTTACCAATCCTGATTTTAACATACTGAAGGCAGAGGCGCTGGCAGGGAAGTCAGCTCAGTATGCAGAATTAGAAGCATTTAGCCTGGCTTTGGAGAACAGGCCAGAAGGACCTATCACAATATATACTGACTCTGAGTATGTGCATTCTACAGTGCATTTGCACTTGCCAATCTGGGTATTGCATGACAATTTCATCACAACAAAAAATTTGAGCCTACACATTTGGAATTATGGCAGAAGGTGGCAGATCAAATCAAGAATGTACGTCACAAAACTGCATTGGTCAAGTGCAGAGCACATACTCGAGCCAGAGACTTCGTGGCAAAGGGCAATGAGTTTGCTGATAGAGTTGCTAAAATGACAGCTGGGTATGACAGGATAGGTACGGCTCTGCAGGGAGTTATTGAAGACAATCCTGAGGGAACAGAGGCACCAGTTGAAGAAAGAGAAGAGAACAGTCCACACATATTGCAAGAAAATCCCTCACTGTATGATGTGACAGCATGGAAAACTGCAGGGGCCATTAAAAACAGTGAAGGAGTATTCTATGATACATTTGGTAAACCGTGCGTGACTACTAAAAAACTACTACAGATCATTCAAAGTAAGCATGAGGAAACACACATAAAGTGCTCAAAACTTTTTTCAGAACTAAGACGGCACATGTTCCATCCTTTTATGCTACCAACCATTCAGCATCTATGTGACTCATGTGACATATGTCAAGGGCTCTCTAAGGCAAGGGCTGTGAAGGCAGGCATAGGAGCATACCCAGTGCCTCCATGGCCCATGGCAGAAATCGTAATTGATTTCATCGACATGACTGCTGATAAGAAAGCGGATGGGTGTAGATACGTGCTCACAATGATTGACCCACTCACACGATGGCCTGAAGCTTTTCCTTTGGCAAAAGCAAATGCAGAATCAGTAGCCAAAGTATTCTTGACAGAGATCTTTCCAAGGTACGGCCCAGCGAGAGTTATCAGATCCGATAACGGCTCGCATTTTAAAAACCAGACAATGGCTCAACTATGTGAGAGGCTGAATATAAAACAGCATTTTGGAGCAGTGTTGCACCCGCAATCACAAGGGGTGATTGAAAGGTTCAACCAGACACTGAAAAACAGATTGGCACACATGTGTAGGTCTGGAAAAATGAATTGGAAACAGGCACTGCCTATAGCCTTGATGGCAATAAGAGGGAGAACCAAGCAGGCCAATTTTTATGTCACCATTTCAACTAATGTATGGGAGACACATGCCCAGTAACTTATCTCGTTCACTGGAGCTCCCACCTCCAGCAGCCACTGATGATGCTAGGGAAACTTATATGAAAACATTGGTCACTACAGTGAAGTTTCTGCAAGATAACATTGTCACGCTGACCCAGAAATCTCCAGAGCCCCCTTTGCAGGCTGTAAAAGACAAACTTACAGTTGGAGGCTACATTTATGTGAAAAACCAGAAACATTGTTGGGATCAGCTAACTTGGAAAGGCCCATTTAAAATCTCCAAACTATACGAGTATACTTTGAAATATTACTTAGACGACTCACAAACTACAGAGTCATCATTTGTGCACATATCACACACTAGGCCCACTAGTGCACCAGAAAGATCCCTGCTTGATGTAATGAGAGATATCACTACGTCATCAGAAAAGGAGGCCGACAGGGGGACAGAGAGGGAAGTGTCTGACTCTATTAGTTAGAACATGGGGAGTTCTAGGGAGGGCGGAACAACCCTATAATGCACCTATAGAGTCCCTCCAGATAGCCCTGTGATGCAAGTGTCTGATGGCATAGGGACTAGTGATGACAATAGTATGAGAGACCTTCTGGAACTGTTGGGAGTTGAGGATTTTGGACTTTGGGGCTCTGGACTTCCAGACTTTGGAGATTGGGATGTTGAGGTTCTGGCCCCTGAGGTTCAGGAGTCTGGATATCAGGATTTTGACATTAGAGATGGTGGAGGACAGGGTTTTGAGGTCCTGGACATTGGAGATTGGGTTGTTGAAGGTCAGGGCGATGAGGTTCAGGATGTTGAATATCAGGATATTGCCATTTTAGATTTTGGGATTCAGGGGTTTGAAATTATGGTCGATGGACTTCAGGTTATTGAAGAATTTGGCAATTTCTCTGACTTTATGGATTGGGCTGATCAAGGGGACTGTGCATTTAACTGACGTGGTTTGGATCCGACATAAGTGATAATGGTGGGGGTGACAAATTGGCCTATAAGGGATGTTTAATTTATCACAGGATTGTGATAAAACAGGGGGAAGATTGATTATTGATTATTTTTTATTGATTGATTATTAATATTATTTTTATAATTATTGATTGAGTATATATAAAAAAAAAAAAAAAAAAAAAAAAATATTCATGATCCAGAATCAACTATTTAGATGAGCAATTGAGCAAATCAAAGCTGAAAACACTAATCTGGTATGCATGGGATAGACTTTAAGATTGAGGTGTTCACCATGCAGGTACTCTCAACATGATAGGACCATGGACACTCTTAGGGTTGAGGACACGAGAGTGGGTGAGTATGGTGGTAGGTATAGGGATTATAGCTGGATTTTTTATGTGGGCCTGGGAAACAGAGTTAGGCCAGGGGTATGCAAAACCAACAACTGTCTATGGTAAGGAGAAAACTCTTGGTGTCAATTCCTCAATTTCTGATTATTCAGACATTTTACCCGGCAAACAGATGAAAGAACGCAAAGTTCAACCTACAAAGGTGACAGGGATAAAAATAAGACCAAAAAGGGAATTGGATAAACTGGGAGCATGTGCAAAAAAGCGACAATACCTATTTGGGGTGCAATTGTGTTTAGCAAAGGGAGAACATATGGCATTCCAGGTACCTTTTATAGCATTAGTAAACAAAGGGAAAAAAGTGGGAGCAGAAAATTCAGATTATGAATGGTACATGACAAATGACATGAGAGATAAATCATGGGGGACAATGGTGGCATATACTGGATTAGATTGGACACCAACACCAACTACAGAGTTTGCAAGACACCATTCTAAAATAATTTCCATGACAAAGGGGATTATGCAGGGAAGTGTACCATGTCTTACAATTACAGTGGACTTGAGAGGTGAGTCATTGGACCTAAGAGACCAGATCAGGGAAGAAACCTCTATGGTTTTGTTGGGGATTTCTGGTAGTATTCCGTGCATACGATCCTTATGTAACAGAGTGATAACAGCCGCTGTGGAAGGGAAGGTGGCAGAAAGACAACTGCTACTAACCCAGGACCTACAGTGGGAACCAGAAGAATTGATGACCATAGCCTAAGCCATAAAGGACAATCATCAGAAGAACGGGTGAGTATGGCCTGTGATATTGTCAGAGTATCACCAGAGGAGTTGTGAGTATGCTTTATGATATTATCAAAATATTTTAATCAAAAATGTATAACTGCTTGCATGTAAATAACGCACATAACCTTGCAAAATTGTAAGAGGGACTTGGGAAAATCGGGGATGCGATAAAAAATTATAAAAATTAAAAATTAAAATAAAAAATTACATAATCCACCTCCTCTCCCTCCACCTCCTCTCTACCTCCTCTCCTCCACCTCCTCTCCACCTCCTCTCCCTCCACCTCCTCCTCTCCTCCTCTCCCTCCACCTCCTCTCTACCTCCTCTCCCTCCACCTCCTCTCTACCTCCTCTCCCTCCACCTCCTCTCTACCTCCTCTCCCTCCACCTCCTCTCCACCTCCTCTCCCTCCACCTCCTCTCTACCTCCTCTCCCTCCACCTCCCTCTCCTCCTCTCCCTCCACCTCCTCTCCACCTCCTCTCCCTCCACCTCCTCTCTACCTCCTCTCCCTCCACCTCCTCCTCTCCTCCAATTCCTGCTCTATCTTCTCCTGTATTAGTTTATATGAACAGTATATACTCCTCCTCCTGCAGTTGTGTGTTGCAGGAGGAGTATAGGAGTTGAAGGAGAAGCTCCAGCTCAAATAGTTGTGTAGCAGTGTAGTTGTGTAGCAGTATAGTTGTGTAGCAGTATAGTTGTGTAGCAGTATAGTTGTGTAGCAGTATACTTGTGTAGCAGTATGGTTGTTTTGCAGTATAGTTGTGTAGCAGTATAGTTGTATAGTTGTGTAGCAGTATAGTTGTGTAGTTGTGTAGCAGTATAGTTGTATAGCAGTATAGTTGTGTAGCAGTATAGTTGTGTAGTTGTGTTGCAGTATAGTTGTGTAGCAGTATAGTTGTGTAGTTGTGTAGTTGTGTAGCAGTATAGTTGTATAGCAGTATAGTTGTGTAGCAGTATAGTTGTGTAGCAGTATACTTGTGTAGCAGTATAGTTGTATAGTTGTGTAGCAGTATAGCTGTATAGTTGTGTAGCAGTATAGTTGTATAGCAGTATAGTTGTGTAGCAGTGTAGTTGTATAGTTGTGTAGCAGTATAGTTGTGTAGTTGTGTAGCAGTATAGTTGTGTAGCAGTATAGTTGTATAGTTGTGTAGCAGTATAGTTGTGTAGCTGTATAGTTGTGTAGCAGTATAGTTGTGTAGCAGTATAGTTGTGTAGCAGTATAGTTGTGTAGCAGTATAGCTGTATAGTTGTATAGCAGTATAGTTGTGTAGCAGTGTAGTTGTATAGTTGTGTAGCAGTATAGTTGTGTAGCAGTATAGTTGTGTAGCAGTATAGTTGTGTAGCAGTATAGTTGTATAGCAGTATAGTTGTGTAGCAGTATAGTTGTATAGTTGTGTAGCAGTATAGTTGTGTAGCAGTATAGTTGTATAGCAGTATAGTTGTGTAGCAGTATAGTTGTGTAGCAGTATAGTTGTATACTTGTGTAGCAGTATAGTTGTGTAGCAGTATAGTTGTGTAGCAGTATAGTTGTATAGTTGTGTAGCAGTATAGTTGTGTAGCAGTATAGTTGTATATTTGTGTAGCAGTATAGTTGTATAGTTGTGTAGCAGTATAGTTGTGTAGCAGTATAGTTGTATAGTTGTGTAGCAGTATAGTTGTGTAGCAGTATAGTTGTATAGTTGTGTAGCAATATAGTTGTATAGTTGTGTAGCAGTGTAGTTGTGTAGCAGTATAGTTGTGTAGTTGTGTAGCAGTATAGTTGTGTAGCAGTGTAGTTGTGTAGCAGTATAGTTGTGTAGCAGTATAGTTGTGTAGGAGTATAGTTGTGTAGCAGTATAATTGTATATTTGTGTAGCAGTATAGTTGTATATTTGTGTAGCAGTATAGTTGTGTAGCAGTATAGTTGTGTAGCAGTATAGTTGTATAGTTGTGTAGCAGTATAGTTGTATAGTTGTGTAGCAGTATAGTTGTGTAGTTGTGTAGCAGTATAGTTGTATACTTGTGTAGCAGTATAATTGTATAGTTGTGTAGCAGTATAGTTGTGTAGCAGTATAGTTGTGTAGCAGTATAGCTGTATAGTTGTATAGCAGTATAGTTGTGTAGCAGTGTAGTTGTGTAGCAGTATAGTTGTGTAGCAGTATAGTTGTGTAGTTGTGTAGCAGTATAGTTGTGTAGCTGTATAGTTGTGTAGCAGTATAGTTGTGTAGCAGTATAGTTGTGTAGCAGTATAGTTGTGTAGCAGTATAGCTGTATAGTTGTATAGCAGTATAGTTGTGTAGCAGTGTAGTTGTATAGTTGTGTAGCAGTATAGTTGTGTAGCAGTATAGTTGTATAGTTGTGTAGCAGTATAGTTGTATAGTTGTGTAGCAGTATAGTTGTGTAGCAGTATAGTTGTATAGCAGTATAGTTGTGTAGCAGTATAGTTGTGTAGCAGTATAGTTGTATACTTGTGTAGCAGTATAATTGTATAGTTGTGTAGCAGTATAGTTGTGTAGCAGTATAGTTGTGTAGCAGTATAGTTGTGTAGCAGTATAGTTGTATATTTGTGCAGCAGTATAGTTGTGTAGCAGTATAGTTGTATAGTTGTGTAGCAGTATAGTTGTGTAGCAGTATAGTTGTGTAGCAGTATAGTTGTATAGTTGTGTAGCAGTATAGTTGTGTAGCAGTATAGTTGTATAGTTGTGTAGCAATATAGTTGTATAGTTGTGTAGCAGTATAGTTGTGTAGCAGTGTAGTTGTGTAGCAGTATAGTTGTGTAGCAGTATAGTTGTATAGTTGTGTAGCAGTATAGTTGTGTAGCAGTATAGTTGTATAGTTGTGTAGCAGTATAGTTGTGTAGCAGTATAGTTGTGTAGGAGTATAGTTGTGTAGCAGTATAGTTGTATATTTGTGTAGCAGTATAGTTGTATATTTGTGTAGCAGTATAGTTGTATATTTGTGTAGCAGTATAGTTGTGTAGCAGTATAGTTGTGTAGCAGTATAGTTGTATAGTTGTGTAGCTGTATAGTTGTGTAGCAGTATAGTTGTGTAGCAGTATAGTTGTGTAGCAGTATAGTTGTATACTTGTGTAGCAGTATAATTGTATAGTTGTGTAGCAGTATAGTTGTGTAGCAGTATAGTTGTGTAGTTGTGTAGCAGTATAGTTGTGTAGCAGTATAGTTGTATATTTGTGTAGCAGTATAGTTGTGTAGCAGTATAGTTGTGTAGCAGTATAGTTGTATATTTGTGTAGCAGTATAGTTGTGTAGCAGTATAGTTGTGTAGCAGTATAGTTGTATATTTGTGTAGCAGTTTAGTTGTATAGTTGTGTAGCAGTATAGTTGTATAGTTGTGTAGCAGTATAGTTGTGTAGCAGTATAGTTGTGTAGCAGTATAGTTGTGTAGCAGTATAATTGTATAGTTGTGTAGCAGTATAGTTGTGTAGCAGTATAGTTGTGTAGTTGTGTAGCAGTATAGTTGTTTATTTGTGTAGCAGTGTAGTTGTGTAGCAGTATAGTTGTGTAGTTGTGTAGCAGTATAGTTGTGTAGCAGTATAGTTATATAGTTGTGTAGCAGTATAGTTGTGTAGCAGTATAGTTGTATAGTTGTGTAGCAGTATAGTTGTGTAGTTGTGTAGCAGTATAGTTGTATAGTTGTGTCGCAGTATAGTTGTGTAGCAGTGTAGTTGTGTAGCAGTATAGTTGTGTAGCAGTATAGTTGTATAGTTGTGTAGCAGTATAGTTGTGTAGTTGTGTTGCAGTATAGTTGTGTAGCAGTATAGTTGTATAGTTGTGTAGCAGTATAGTTGTGTAGCAGTATAGTTGTATAGTTGTGTAGCAGTATAGTTGTGTAGTTGTGTAGCAGTATAGTTGTATAGCAGTATAGTTGTGTAGCAGTATAGTTGTGTAGCAGAATAGTTGTATAGTTGTGTAGCAGTATAGTTGTGTAGTTGTGTAGCAGTATAGTTGTGTAGCAGTATAGTTGTATAGTTGTGTAGCAGTATAGTTGTATAGTTGTGTAGCAGTATAGTTGTGTAGCAGTATAGTTGTATACTTGTGTAGCAGTATAGTTGTATACTTGTGTAGCAGTATAGTTGTATAGTTGTGTAGCAGTGTAGTTGTATAGTTGTGTAGTTGTGTAGCAGTATAGTTGTGTAGCAGTATAGTTGTATAGTTGTGTAGCAGTGTAGTTGTATAGTTGTGTAGCAGTATAGTTGTGTAGCAGTATAGTTGTATAGTTGTGTAGCAGTATAGTTGTATACTTGTGTAGCAGTATAGTTGTGTAGCAGTATAGTTATATACTTGTGTAGCAGTATAGTTGTGTAGCAGTATAGTTGTGTAGCAGTGTAGCAGTATAGTTGTGTAGCAGTATAGTTGTGTAGCAGTGTAGCAGTATAGTTGTGTGTTGCAGGAGGAGGAGTTGAAGGAGGTGCTGCAGAAGCTCCAGCTCAAACGCCCGGTGCTGAGGAGAGTGCGACTCTCGGCGGACGCCATGTTGTCTGCTCTGCTGGGACCAAGACACACAGTCTGTCTGGACCTGAGAGGAGCCCTGAAGGAGGTGAAGAAGGAGGTGAAGGAGGAGGTGAGACATGGCTGAAGGAGGTGAAGGAGGAGGTGAGACATGACTGAAGGAGAACAAGGAGGAGGTGAGACCAGGGCTGAAGGAGAACAAGGAGGAGGTGAGACATGGTTGAAGGAGAACAAGGAGGAGGTGAGACCAGGGCTGAAGGAGAACAAGGAGGAGGTGAGACCAGGGCTGAAGGAGAACAAGGAGGAGGTGAGACATGGTTGAAGGAGAACAAGGAGGAGGTGAGACCAGGGCTGAAGGAGAACAAGGAGGAGGTGAGACCAGGGCTGAAGGAGAACAAGGAGGAGGTGAGACATGACTGAGGGAGAGTAAGGAGGAGGTGAGACATGACTGAAGGAGAACAAGGAGGAGGTGAGACATGGCTGAGGGAGAGTAAGGAGGAGGTGAGACATGACTGAAGGAGGTGAGACCAGGGCTGAAGGAGAACAAGGACTGAAGGAGAACAGTCCTGGTTCTCTCCTGGTGCAGAGGTCCTGGTCCTCTCCTGGTTCTCTCCTGGTGCAGAGGTCCTGGTCCTCTCCTGGTCCTCTCCTGGTGCAGAGGTCCTGGTCCTCCCCTGGTCCTCTCCTGGTGCAGAGGTCCTGGTCCTCTCCTGGTCCTCTCCTGGTGCAGAGGTCCTGGTCCTCCCCTGGTCCTCTCCTGGTGCAGAGGTCCTGGTCCTCTCCTGGTGCAGAGGTCCTGGTCCTCCCCTGGTCCTCTCCTGGTGCAGAGGTCCTGGTCCTCTCCTGGTCCTCTCCTGGTCCTCTCCTGGTGCTCTCCTGGTGCAGAGGTCCTGGTCCTCTCCTGGTCCTCTCCTGGTGCAGAGGTCCTGGTCCTCCCCTGGTCCTCTCCTGGTGCAGAGGTCCTGGTCCTCTCCTGGTCCTCTCCTGGTGCAGAGGTCCTGGTCCTCCCCTGGTCCTCTCCTGGTGCAGAGGTCCTGGTCCTCTCCTGGTCCTCTCCTGGTGCAGAGGTCCTGGTCCTCCCCTGGTCCTCTCCTGGTGCAGAGGTCCTGGTCCTCTCCTGGTGCAGAGGTCCTGGTCCTCTCCTGGTGCTCTCCTGGTGCAGAGGTCCTGGTCCTCTCCTGGTCCTCTCCTGGTGCAGAGGTCCTGGTCCTCTCCTGGTGCAGAGGTCCTGGTCCTCTCCTGGTCCTCTCCTGGTGCAGAGGTCCTGGTCCTCTCCTGGTGCAGAGGTCCTGGTCCTCTCCTGGTCCTCTCCTGGTGCAGAGGTCCTGGTCCTCTCCTGGTCCTCTCCTGGTGCAGAGGTCCTGGTCCTCTCCTGGTGCAGAGGTCCTGGTCCTCCCCTGGTGCTCTCCTGGTGCAGAGGTCCTGGGCCTCTCCTGGTCCTCTCCTGGTGCAGAGGTCCTGGTCCTCTCCTGGTCCTCTCCTGGTGCAGAGGTCCTGGTCCTCTCCTGGTCCTCTCCTGGTGCAGAGGTCCTGGTCCTCTCCTGGTCCTCTCCTGGTGCAGATGTCCTGGTCCTCTCCTGGTCCTCTCCTGGTGCAGAGGTCCTGGTCCTCTCCTGGTCCTCTCCTGGTGCAGAGGTCCCTGGTCCTGGTCTCCTGGTGCAGAGGTCCTGGTCCTCTCCTGGTCCTCTCCTGGTGCAGAGGTCCTGGTCCTCTCCTGGTCCTCTCCTGGTGCAGAGGTCCTGGTCCTCTCCTGGTGCAGAGGTCCTGGTCCTCTCCTGGTGCAGAGGTCCTGGTCCTCTCCTGGTCCTCTCCTGGTGCAGAGGTCCTGGTCCTCTCCTGGTGCAGAGGTCCTGGTCCTCTCCTGGTCCTCTCCTGGTGCAGAGGTCCTGGTCCTCTCCTGGTCCTCTCCTGGTGCAGAGGTCCTGGTCCTCTCCTGGTCCTCTCCTGGTGCAGAGGTCCTGGTCCTCTCCTGGTGCAGAGGTCCTGGTCCTCTCCTGGTGCAGAGGTCCTGGTCCTCTCCTGGTCCTCTCCTGGTGCAGGGGTCCTGGTCCTCTCCCGGTGCAGAGGTCCTGGTCCTCTCCCGGTGCAGAGGTCCTGGTCCTCTCCTGGTGCAGAGGTCCTGGTCCTCTCCTGGTCCTCTCCCGGTGCAGAGGTCCTGGTCCTCTCCTGGTCCTCTCCTGGTGCAGAGGTCCTGGTCCTCTCCTGGTCCTCTCCTGGTGCAGAGGTCCTGGTCCTCTCCTGGTCCTCTCCTGGTGCAGAGGTCCTGGTCCTCTCCTGGTCCTCTCCTGGTGCAGAGGTCCTGGTCAGGGTAAAGTCTCTTCACATTATTATTCTCTCTCTCCAAACACGGTGGTGATAAACTACTGTAGCCACAGCTGCCCTGGGGCACACTGACAGAAGCGAGGCAACCAGTCTGTGCCATCGGCCCCTCCCACCACCACCAACCACTCACACACACACCAGACTCATTCTAATGTGGGGGAAGTGTCTTGCCCAAGGACACAACGAAAGCAGACATCAGTGGGAGTCGATGGTGAAGGTCGGGCTCAAACCCACGACCTTCTGGCTCAAACATAGAGGCCGATGCTCTACCAACTGAGCTACTGTCACACATTGTTGTGGTTCACTTCCTGGTTCACTCTTGGTTCACTTCCTGGTTCACTCCCTGGTTCACTCCCTGGTTCACTCTTGGTTCACTCTTGGTTCACTCCCTGGTTCACTCTTGGTTCACTTCCTGGTTCACTCTTGGTTCACTTCCTGGTTCACTCTTGGTTCACTTCCTGGTTCACTCTTGGTTCACTTCCTGGTTCACTCTTGGTTCACTTCCTGGTTCACTCTTGGTTCACTCTTGGTTCACTCCCTGGTTCACTTCCTGGTTCACTTCCTGGTTCACTCTTGGTTCACTCTTGGTTCACTCCCTGGTTCACTCTTGGTTCACTTCCTGGTTCACTCCCTGGTTCACTTCCTGGTTCACTCTTGGTTCACTCTTGGTTCACTCCCTGGTTCACTCTTGGTTCACTTCCTGGTTCACTCTTGGTTCACTTCCTGGTTCACTCTTGGTTCACTCTCGGTTCACTCCCTGGTTCACTCTTGGTTCACTCCCTGGTTCACTCTTGGTTCACTTCCTGGTTCACTTCCTGGTTCACTTCCTGGTTCACTCTTGGTTCACTCTTGGTTCACTCTTGGTTCACTCCCTGGTTCACTTCCTGGTTCACTCTTGGTTCACTTCCTGGTTCACTCCCTGGTTCACTCCCTGGTTCACTCTTGGTTCACTTCCTGGTTCACTCCCTGGTTCACTTCCTGGTTCACTTCCTGGTTCACTCTTGGTTCACTTCCTGGTTCACTCCCTGGTTCACTCCCTGGTTCACTCTTGGTTCACTTCCTGGTTCACTCCCTGGTTCACTTCCTGGTTCACTCCCTGGTTCACTTCCTGGTTCACTCCCTGGTTCACTTCCTGGTTCACTCCCTGGTTCACTTCCTGGTTCACTCCCTGGTTCACTACTGGGTCACTCCCTGGTTCACTTCCTGGTTCACTCCCTGGTTCACTCTTGGTTCACTTCCTGGTTCACTCTTGGTTCACTCCCTGGTTCACTCTTGGTTCACTCTTGGTTCACTCCCTGGTTCACTTCCTGGTTCACTCTTGGTTCACTTCCTGGTTCACTCCCTGGTTCACTTCCTGGTTCACTCCCTGGTTCACTCCCTGGTTCACTCCCTGGTTCACTCTTGGTTCACTCCCTGGTTCACTCTTGGTTCACTTCCTGGTTCACTCCCTGGTTCACTCTTGGTTCACTTCCTGGTTCACTCCCTGGTTCACTCCCTGGTTCACTCCTGGTTCACTCCTGGTTCACTCTTGGTTCACTTCCTGGTTCACTTCCTGGTTCACTCCCTGGTTCACTCCCTGGTTCACTCTTGGTTCACTTCCTGGTTCACTTCCTGGTTCACTCCCTTGTTCACTCCTGGTTCACTCTTGGTTCACTTCCTGGTTCACTCCCTGGTTCACTCCCTGGTTCACTCTTGGTTCACTTCCTGGTTCACTCCCTGGTTCACTCTTGGTTCACTCTTGGTTCACTTCCTGGTTCACTCTTGGTTCACTTCCTGGTTCACTCTTGGTTCACTCTTGGTTCACTTCCTGGTTCACTTCCTGGTTCACTCCCTGGTTCACTCTTGGTTCACTTCCTGGTTCACTCTTGGTTCACTTCCTGGTTCACTCTTGGTTCACTCTTGGTTCACTTCCTGGTTCACTTCCGGGTTCACTCCCTGGTTCACTCCCTGGTTCACTCCCTGGTTCACTCTTGGTTCACTTCCTGGTTCACTCTTGGTTCACTTCCTGGTTCACTCTTGGTTCACTTCCTGGTTCACTCTTGGTTCACTCTTGGTTCACTTCCTGGTTCACTCCCTGGTTCACTCCCTGGTTCACTCTTGGTTCACTTCCTGGTTCACTCTTGGTTCACTTCCTGGTTCACTCTTGGTTCACTCTTGGTTCACTTCCTGGTTCACTTCCGGGTTCACTTCCTGGTTCACTCTTGGTTCACTTCCTGGTTCACCCTTGGTTCACTTCCTGGTTCACTCTTGGTTCACTTCCTGGTTCACTCTTGGTTCACTCCCTGGTTCACTCTTGGTTCACTTCCTGGTTCACTCCCTGGTTCACTTCCTGGTTCACTCTTGGTTCACTCTTGGTTCACTCTTGGTTCACTCCCTGGTTCACTTCCTGGTTCACTCTTGGTTCACTTCCTGGTTCACTCCCTGGTTCACTCCCTGGTTCACTCTTGGTTCACTTCCTGGTTCACTCCCTGGTTCACTTCCTGGTTCACTCCCTGGTTCACTTCCTGGTTCACTCCCTGGTTCACTCCCTGGTTCACTCTCGGTTCACTCCCTGGTTCACTCCCTGGTTCACTTCCTGGTTCACTCCCTGGTTCACTTCCTGGTTCACTCTTGGTTCACTTCCTGGTTCACTCCCTGGTTCACTCCCTGGTTCACTCTTGGTTCACTTCCTGGTTCACTCCCTGGTTCACTTCCTGGTTCACTCCCTGGTTCACTTCCTGGTTCACTCCCTGGTTCACTTCCTGGTTCACTCCCTGGTTCACTTCCTGGTTCACTCCCTGGTTCACTACTGGGTCACTTCCTGGTTCACTCCCTGGTTCACTTCCTGGTTCACTCCCTGGTTCACTTCCTGGTTCACTTCCTGGTTCACTTCCTGGTTCACTACTGGGTCACTTCCTGGTTCACTCCCTGGTTCACTCCCAGGTTCACTCCCTGGTTCACTTCCTGGTTCACTCCCTGGTTCACTTCCTGGTTCACTCCCTGGTTCACTCCCTGGTTCACTTCCTGGTTCACTTCCTGGTTCACTCCCTGGTTCACTCCCTGGTTCACTCTTGGTTCACTTCCTGGTTCACTCCCTGGTTCACTCCCTGGTTCACTCTTGGTTCACTTCCTGGTTCACTTCCTGGTTCACTCCCTGGTTCACTTCCTGGTTCACTCTTGGTTCACTCCCTGGTTCACTTCCTGGTTCACTTCCTGGTTCACTCTTGGTTCACTCTTGGTTCACTTCCTGGTTCACTCTTGGTTCACTCCCTGGTTCACTCCCAGGTTCACTTCCTGGTTCACTCTTGGTTCACTTCCTGGTTCACTCCCTGGTTCACTTCCTGGTTCACTCTTGGTTCACTTCCTGGTTCACTCTTGGTTCACTTCCTGGTTCACTCCCTGGTTCACTTCCTGGTTCACTTGGTTCCTGGTTCACTCCCTGGTTCACTTCCTGGTTCACTCTTGGTTCACTTCCTGGTTCACTCCCAGGTTCACTCCCTGGTTCACTCTTGGTTTACTTCCTGGTTCACTCTCTGGTTCACTTCCTGGTTCACTTCCTGGTTCACTCTTGGTTCACTCTCTGGTTCACTCTTGGTTCACTCCCTGGTTCACTCTTGGTTCACTTCCTGGTTCACTTCCTGGTTCACTTCCTGGTTCACTCTCGGTTCACTTCCTGGTTCACTCTTGGTTCACTCCCTGGTTCACTCCCTGGTTCACTCCTGGTTCACTACTGGGTCACTTCCTGGTTCACTCCCTGGTTCACTTCCTGGTTCACTTCCTGGTTCACTTCCTGGTTCACTCCCTGGTTCACTCTTGGTTCACTTCCTGGTTCACTCCCTGGTTCACTCCCTGGTTCACTACTGGGTCACTTCCTGGTTCACTTCCTGGTTCACTTCCTGGTTCACTCTTGGTTCACTTCCTGGTTCACTCTTGGTTCACTCCCTGGTTCACTCCCTGGTTCACTTCCTGGTTCACTCTTGGTTCACTTCCTGGTTCACTCCCTGGTTCACTCCCTGGTTCACTCTTGGTTCACTTCCTGGTTCACTCCCTGGTTCACTTCCTGGTTCACTCTTGGTTCACTCCCTGGTTCACTCTTGGTTCACTTCCTGGTTCACTCCCTGGTTCACTCCCTGGTTCACTTCCTGGTTCACTCTTGGTTCACTTCCTGGTTCACTCTTGGTTCACTCCCTGGTTCACTCCCTGGTTCACTCCCTGGTTCACTTCCTGGTTCACTACTTGGTCACTTCCTGGTTCACTCCCTGGTTCACTCCCAGGTTCACTCCCTGGTTCACTTCCTGGTTCACTCCCTGGTTCACTCTTGGTTCACTTCCTGGTTCACTTCCTGGTTCACTCCCTGGTTCACTTCCTGGTTCACTCTTGGTTCACTCCCTGGTTCACTTCCTGGTTCACTTCCTGGTTCACTCTTGGTTCACTTCCTGGTTCACTCCCTGGTTCACTTCCTGGTTCACTCCCTGGTTCACTTCCTGGTTCACTTCCTGGTTCACTTCCTGGTTCACTACTGGGTCACTTCCTGGTTCACTCCCTGGTTCACTCCCAGGTTCACTCCCTGGTTCACTTCCTGGTTCACTCCCTGGTTCACTTCCTGGTTCACTCCCTGGTTCACTCCCTGGTTCACTTCCTGGTTCACTTCCTGGTTCACTCCCTGGTTCACTCCTGGTTCACTCTTGGTTCACTTCCTGGTTCACTCCCTGGTTCACTCCCTGGTTCACTCTTGGTTCACTTCCTGGTTCACTTCCTGGTTCACTCCCTGGTTCACTTCCTGGTTCACTCTTGGTTCACTCCCTGGTTCACTTCCTGGTTCACTTCCTGGTTCACTCTTGGTTCACTCTTGGTTCACTTCCTGGTTCACTCCCTGGTTCACTCTTGGTTCACTCCCTGGTTCACTCCCTGGTTCACTCCCTGGTTCACTCTTGGTTCACTTCCTGGTTCACTCCTGGTTCACTGGTTCACTTCCTGGTTCACTCTTGGTTCACTTCCTGGTTCACTCTTGGTTCACTCTTGGTTCACTCCCTGGTTCACTCTTGGTTCACTTCCTGGTTCACTTCCTGGTTCACTCCCTGGTTCACTCTGTTCACTCTTGGTTCACTCCCTGGTTCACTCCTGGTTCACTCTGGTGGTTCACTTCCTGGTTCACTCTGGTTCACTCCTTGGTTCACTTCCTGGTTCACTCTCTGGTTCACTCCTGGTTCACTCTTGGTGTTCACTTCCTGGTTCACTCTGGTTCACTCTGGTTCACTCTTGGTTCACTCCTGGTTCACTCCCTGGTTCACTTCTGGTTCACTCACTGGTTCCTGTTCACTCTCTGGTTCACTTCACTGGTTCACTCCCTGGTTCACTGGTCCTGGTTCACTTTGGTTCACTTCCTGGTTCACTCCCTGGTTCACTTCCTGGTTCACTCTCCTGGTTCACTTCCTGGTTCACTCCCTGGTTCACTCCTGGTTCACTCCTGGTTCACTTCCTGGTTCACTCCTGGTTCACTCTTCCTGGTTCACTCTTGGTTCACTCCCTGGTTCACTCACTCCTGGTTCACTCTTGGTTCACTTCCTGGTTCACTCCTGGTTCACTCCCTGGTTCACTCTGGTTCACTTCCTGGTTCACTCTTGGTTCACTTCCTGGTTCACTCCCTGGTTCACTCTTGGTTCACTCCCTGGTTCACTCCCTGGTTCACTTCCTGGTTCACTCTGGTTCACTTCCTGGTTCACTCCCTGGTTCACTCCCTGGTTCACTCTTGGTTCACTTCCTGGTTCACTCCCTGGTTCACTTCCTGGTTCACTCTTGGTTCACTCCCTGGTTCACTCTTGGTTCACTTCCTGGTTCACTCCTGGTTCACTCCCTGGTTCACTTCCTGGTTCACTCTTGGTTCACTTCCTGGTTCACTCTTGGTTCACTCCCTGGTTCACTCCCTGGTTCACTCCCTGGTTCACTTCCTGGTTCACTCTTGGTTCACTTCCTGGTTCACTCCCTGGTTCACTCCCAGGTTCACTCCCTGGTTCACTTCCTGGTTCACTCCCTGGTTCACTTCCTGGTTCACTCCCTGGTTCACTCCCTGGTTCACTCCCTGGTTCACTCTTGGTTCACTTCCTGGTTCACTTCCTGGTTCACTCCCTGGTTCACTTCCTGGTTCACTCTTGGTTCACTCCCTGGTTCACTTCCTGGTTCACTCTTGGTTCACTTCCTGGTTCACTCTTGGTTCACTCCCTGGTTCACTCTTGGTTCACTCCCTGGTTCACTTCCTGGTTCACTCTTGGTTCACTTCCTGGTTCACTCCCAGGTTCACTCCCTGGTTCACTCTTGGTTCACTTCCTGGTTCACTCCCTGGTTCACTCCCTGGTTCACTTCCTGGTTCACTACTGGGTCACTTCCTGGTTCACTCCCTGGTTCACTTCCTGGTTCACTCCCTGGTTCACTTCCTGGTTCACTTCCTGGTTCACTTCCTGGTTCACTCCCTGGTTCACTCTTGGTTCACTTCCTGGTTCACTCCCTGGTTCACTCCCTGGTTCACTACTGGGTCACTTCCTGGTTCACTTCCTGGTTCACTTCCTGGTTCACTTCCTGGTTCACTCTTGGTTCACTTCCTGGTTCACTCTTGGTTCACTCCCTGGTTCACTCCCTGGTTCACTTCCTGGTTCACTCTTGGTTCACTTCCTGGTTCACTCCCAGGTTCACTCCCTGGTTCACTCTTGGTTCACTTCCTGGTTCACTCCCTGGTTCACTTCCTGGTTCACTCTTGGTTCACTCCCTGGTTCACTCTTGGTTCACTCCCTGGTTCACTCTTGGTTCACTTCCTGGTTCACTCCCTGGTTCACTCCCTGGTTCACTTCCTGGTTCACTCTTGGTTCACTTCCTGGTTCACTCTTGGTTCACTCCCTGGTTCACTCCCTGGTTCACTCCCTGGTTCACTTCCTGGTTCACTACTTGGTCACTTCCTGGTTCACTCCCTGGTTCACTCCCAGGTTCACTCCCTGGTTCACTTCCTGGTTCACTCCCTGGTTCACTTCCTGGTTCACTCCCTGGTTCACTCCCTGGTTCACTCCCTGGTTCACTCTTGGTTCACTTCCTGGTTCACTTCCTGGTTCACTCCCTGGTTCACTTCCTGGTTCACTCTTGGTTCACTTCCTGGTTCACTTCCTGGTTCACTTCCTGGTTCACTCTTGGTTCACTCTTGGTTCACTCCCTGGTTCACTTCCTGGTTCACTCCCTGGTTCACTTCCTGGTTCACTCCCTGGTTCACTACTGGGTCACTTCCTGGTTCACTCCCTGGTTCACTTCCTGGTTCACTCCCTGGTTCACTTCCTGGTTCACTTCCTGGTTCACTTCCTGGTTCACTCCCTGGTTCACTCTTGGTTCACTTCCTGGTTCACTCCCTGGTTCACTCCCTGGTTCACTACTGGGTCACTTCCTGGTTCACTTCCTGGTTCACTCTTGGTTCACTTCCTGGTTCACTCCCTGGTTCACTTCCTGGTTCACTCTTGGTTCACTCCCTGGTTCACTCTTGGTTCACTTCCTGGTTCACTCCCTGGTTCACTCCCTGGTTCACTTCCTGGTTCACTCCCTGGTTCACTTCCTGGTTCACTCTTGGTTCACTTCCTGGTTCACTCCCTGGTTCACTCCCTGGTTCACTTCCTGGTTCACTCCCTGGTTCACTCCCAGGTTCACTCCCTGGTTCACTCCTGGTTCACTACTGGGTCACTTCCTGGTTCACTCCCTGGTTCACTTCCTGGTTCACTTCCTGGTTCACTTCCTGGTTCACTCCCTGGTTCACTCTTGGTTCACTTCCTGGTTCACTCCCTGGTTCACTCTTGGTTCACTTCCTGGTTCACTCTCGGTTCACTCCCTGGTTCACTCCCTGGTTCACTCTTGGTTCACTCCCTGGTTCACTCCCTGGTTCACTTCCTGGTTCACTTCCTGGTTCACTCTTGGTTCACTCCCTGGTTCACTCTTGGTTCACTTCCTGGTTCACTCCCTGGTTCACTCTTGGTTCACTCCCTGGTTCACTCCCTGGTTCACTCTTGGTTCACTCTTGGTTCACTTCCTGGTTCACTTCCTGGTTCACTTCCTGGTTCACTTTCTGGTTCACTCCCTGGTTCACTTCCTGGTTCACTCTTGGTTCACTCCCTGGTTCACTTCCTGGTTCACTTCCTGGTTCACTCTTGGTTCACTCTTGGTTCACTCTTGGTTCACTTCCTGGTTCACTTCCTGGTTCACTTCCTGGTTCACTTCCTGGTTCACTTCCTGGTTCACTCTTGGTTCACTCCCTGGTTCACTTCCTGGTTCACTTCCTGGTTCACTCTTGGTTCACTTCCTGGTTCACTCCCTGGTTCACTTCCTGGTTCACTCTTGGTTCACTCCCTGGTTCACTTCCTGGTTCACTCCCTGGTTCACTACTGGGTCACTTCCTGGTTCACTCCCTGGTTCACTTCCTGGTTCACTCCCTGGTTCACTTCCTGGTTCACTTCCTGGTTCACTCCCTGGTTCACTCCCTGGTTCACTACTGGGTCACTTCCTGGTTCACTCCCAGGTTCACTCCCTGGTTCACTCTTGGTTCACTTCCTGGTTCACTCCCTGGTTCACTCCCTGGTTCACTCTTGGTTCACTTCCTGGTTCACTCCCTGGTTTACTCCCTGGTTCACTTCCTGGTTCACTCCCTGGTTCACTCCCTGGTTCACTCTTGGTTCACTCCCTGGTTCACTCCCTGGTTCACTCCTGGTTCACTCCCTGGTTCACTCCCTGGTTCACTTCCTGGTTCACTTCCTGGTTCACTTCCTGGTTCACTACTGGGTCACTTCCTGGTTCACTCCCTGGTTCACTCTTGGTTCACTCTTGGTTCACTCTTGGTTCACTCCCTGGTTCACTCCCTGGTTCACTTCCTGGTTCACTTCCTGGTTCACGTCCTGGTTCACTCTTGGTTCACTCCCTGGTTCACTCCCTGGTTCACTCTTGGTTCACTTCCTGGTTCACTTCCTGGTTCACTTCCTGGTTCACTCCCTGGTTCACTCTTGGTTCACTTCCTGGTTCACTCCCTGGTTCACTCTTGGTTCACTTCCTGGTTCACTCTCGGTTCACTCCCTGGTTCACTTCCTGGTTCACTCCCTGGTTCACTCTTGGTTCACTCCCTGGTTCACTCCCTGGTTCACTCTTGGTTCACTCCCTGGTTCACTCCCTGGTTCACTCCCTGGTTCACTTCCTGGTTCACTCTTGGTTCACTTCCTGGTTCACTTCCTGGTTCACTCTTGGTTCACTCCCTGGTTCACTCTTGGTTCACTCCCTGGTTCACTCCCTGGTTCACTCTTGGTTCACTTCCTGGTTCACTTCCTGGTTCACTCCCTGGTTCACTCTTGGTTCACTTCCTGGTTCACTCCCTGGTTCACTCTTGGTTCACTCCCTGGTTCACTCCCTGGTTCACTCTTGGTTCACTTCCTGGTTCACTTCCTGGTTCACTCCCTGGTTCACTCCCTGGTTCACTCCTTGGTTCACTTCCTGGTTCACTCCCTGGTTCACTTCCTGGTTCACTACTGGGTCACTTCCTGGTTCACTTCCTGGTTCACTCCTGGTTCACTCCCTGGTTCACTTCCTGGTTCACTACTGGGTCACTTCCTGGTTCACTTCCTGGTTCACTCTTGGTTCACTCTTGGTTCACTCTTGGTTCACTCCCTGGTTCACTCCCTGGTTCACTACTGGGTCACTTCCTGGTTCACTTCCTGGTTCACTCTTGGTTCACTCTTGGTTCACTCTTGGTTCACTCCCTGGTTCACTCCCTGGTTCACTCTTGGTTCACTCCCTGGTTCACTTCCTGGTTCACTTCCTGGTTCACTCCCTGGTTCACTCTTGGTTCACTTCCTGGTTCACTCTTGGTTCACTTCCTGGTTCACTCTTGGTTCACTTCCTGGTTCACTTCCTGGTTCTCTGCTCCACAGGAGAATCTGGCTGCTGATTGGAGGAAGATCATCGAGGACAAAGCTGGGATGGACGGGAGGAAGAGGATGTTTGAGACCGAGGTCGAGGACCGAGACCGAGGACCGAGACCGAGGACCGAGGACTGAGGCCGAGCACAGAGACTGAGGCCGAGGACGAGGACTGAGGCCGAGGACTGAGGCCGGGGCCTGAGATCGGGGCCTGAGATCGGGGCCCGAGAGTGGGGCCTGAGACCGAGGACTGAGACCAAGGACTGAGACCGAGGACTGAGACCGAGGACTGAGACCGAGGACTGAGACCGAGGACTGAGACCGGGGCCTGAGACCGGGGCCTGAGACCGGGGCCTGAGACTGAGGATGTTCTGTTGAATGATGATAAAGTTCTAAACTGTTTAAAAATAAAGATCATTCTCTGTGTAGATTTTGTCACTGTTTACTGATTCACAAACATTTGATTCAATCATAAAAAAAATATATATATATATATATAAAATCATTGTTTATGATCATTGTATATGTACTCACAGTGTATATATATATATATATATATGAAGCTTATTCTGGATATAGACTAACCATAAGTGTTTTAACTAAAAGCCAGCTGCAGTTTTAAAAGTGCAGGAGGAGCTTCAGTGTTTGTGTGTGTGGCTGACACACTCTGAGGATCTTTTAGAGAAATACTTTGACGATGTGAACAAAAACATTAAAGAGGATCTCACGCACTGGACAACAAACATACTTAATTTACACTCAAGAATTGAAGTAATTAAAATGTCGGTCTTGCCTAGATTACTATACTTATTTATGTCACTACCAGTTAAAACAAATATCCCGATTTATTTGGAGAAGAAAGAAACCCCCGTGTCAAATGTAGTACACTGATGCTCCACAAAGAAAAGGGTGTGATGGTACCTGTGATGGTGTCTGTGATGGTACCTGTGATGGTGTCTGTGATGGTACCTGTGATGGTACCTGCGATGGTACCTGCGATGGTGCCTGTGATGGTACCTGTGATGGTGCCTGTGATGGTACCTGTGATGGTGTCTGTGATGGTACCTGTGATGGTGTCTGTGATGGTACCTGTGATGGTACCTGCGATGGTACCTGCGATGGTGCCTGTGATGGTGCCTGTGATGGTGTCTGTGATGGTACCTGTGATGGTACCTGCGATGGTGCCTGCGATGGTGCCTGTGATGGTACCTGTGATGGTGCCTGTGATGGTACCTGTGATGGTACCTGTGATGGTACCTTTGATGGTACCTGCGATGGTGCCTGCGATGGTACCTGTGATGGTACCTGTGATGGTACCTGTGATGGTACCTGCGATGGTGCCTGCGATGGTACCGGCGATGGTGCCTGTGATGGTACCTGTGATGGTACCTGTGATGGTGCCTGTGGCCTGTGATGGTAACTGTGATGGTGCCTGTGATGGTGCCTGTGATGGTACCTGTGATGGTACCTGTGATGGTACCTGTGCTGGTGCCTGTGATGGTGTCTGTGATGGTACCTGTGATGGTACCTGCGATGGTACCTGCAATGGTACCTGTGATGGTACCTGCGATGGTACCTGCGATGGTGCCTGTGATGGTACCTGCGATGGTACCTGTGATGGTGCCTGTGATTGTACCTGTGTGATGGTGTCTGTGATGGTACCTGTGATGGTACTTGTGATGGTGCCTGTGATGGTGTCTGTGATGGTACCTGTGATGGTACCTGTGTGATGGTGTCTGTGATGGTACCTGTGATGGTGCCTGTGATGGTGTCTGTGATGGTACCTGTGATGGTGCCTGTGATGGTGCCTGTGATGGCACCTGTGATTGTACCTGTGATGGTGCCTGTGATTGTACCTGTGTGATGGTGTCTGTGATGGTACCTGTGATGGTACTTGTGATGGTGCCTGTGATGGTGTCTGTGATGGTACCTGTGATGGTAACTGTGTGATGGTGTCTGTGATGGTACCTGTGATGGTGCCTGTGATGGTGTCTGTGATGGTACCTGTGATGGTGCCTGTGATGGTGCCTGTGATGGCACCTGTGATGGTACCTGTGATGGTGTCTGTGATGGTACCTGCGATGGTGCCTGTGATGGTGTCTGTGATGGTACCTGTGATGGTGCCTGTGATGGCACCTGTGATGGTACCTGTGATGGTGCCTGTGATGGTACCTGTAATGGTGCCTGTGATGGTACCTGTGATGGTACCTGTGATGGTGCCTGTGATGGTACCTGTGATGGTACCTGTGATGGTGCCTGTGATGGTGTCTGTGATCGTACCTGTGTGATGGTACCTGTGATGGTACCTGTGATGGTGTCTGTGATGGTACCTGTGATGGTACCTGTGATGGTGTCTGTGATGGTACCTGTGATGGTGCCTGTGATGGTGTCTGTGATCGTACCTGTGATGGTACCTGTGATGGTACCTGTGATGGTGTCTGTGATGGTACCTGTGTGATGGTACCTGTGATGGTACCTGTGATGGTGTCTGTGATGGTACCTGTGATGGTGCCTGTGATGGTACCTGTGATGGTGTCTGTGATGGTACCTGTGATGGTGCCTGTGATGGTACCTGTGATGGTACCTGTGATCGTACCTGTGATGGTACCTGTGATGGTACCTGTGTGATGGTGTCTGTGATGGTACCTGTGTGATGGTGTCTGTGATGGTGTCTGTGATGGTACCTGTGATGGTGCCTGTGATGGTGCCTGTGATGGCACTTGTGATGGTACCTGTGATGGTACCTGTGATGGTGCCTGTGATGGTACCTGTGATGGTGCCTGTGATGGTACCTGTGATGGTACCTGTGATGGTGCCTGTGATGGTACCTGTGATGGTGCCTGTGATGGTGTCTGTGATCGTACCTGTGATGGTACCTGTGATGGTGCCTGTGATGGTACCTGTGATGGTGCCTGTGATGGTACCTGTGATGGTACCTGTGATGGTACCTGTGATGGTGCCTGTGATGGTACCTGTGATGGTACCTGTGATGGTGCCTGTGATGGTGTCTGTGATCGTACCTGTGATGGTACCTGTGTGATGGTACCTGTGATGGTGCCTGTGATGGTGTCTGTGATCGTACCTGTGATGGTACCTGTGATGGTGCCTGTGATGGTACCTGTGATGGTGCCTGTGATGGTACCTGTGCTGGTACCTGTGATGGTACCTGTGATGGTGCCTGTGATGGTACCTGTGATGGTACCTGTGATGGTACCTGTGATGGTGTCTGTGATGGTACCTGTGATGGTACCTGTGTGATGGTACCTGTGATGGTACCTGTGATGGTGTCTGTGATGGTACCTGTGATGGTGCCTGTGATGGTACCTGTGATGGTGCCTGTGATGGTGCCTGTGATGGTACCTGTGATCGTACCTGTGATGGTACCTGTGATGGTACCTGTGTGATGGTGTCTGTGATGGTACCTGTGTGATGGTGTCTGTGATGGTACCTGTGATGGTACCTGTGATGGTGCCTGTGATGGTACCTGTGATGGTGCCTGTGATGGTACCTGTGATGGTACCTGTGTGATGGTGTCTGTGATGGTACCTGTGATGGTGTCTGTGATGGTACCTGTGTGATGGTGTCTGTGATGGTACCTGTGATGGTGCCTGTGATGGTACCTGTGATGGTGCCTGCGATGGTACCTGTGACGGTACCTGTGTGATGGTACCTGTGTGATGGTACCTGTGATGGTACCTGTGTGATGGTGTCTGTGATGGTACCTGCGATGGTACCTGTGTGATGGTACCTGTGTGATGGTACCTGTGTGATGGTGTCTGTGATGGTGTCTGTGATGGTACCTGTGATGGTACCTTTGATGGTACCTGCGATGGTGCCTGCGATGGTACCTGTGATGGTACCTGTGATGGTATCTGTGATGGTACCTGCGATGGTGCCTGCGATGGTACCGGCGATGGTGCCTGTGATGGTACCTGTGATGGTACCTGTGATGGTGCCTGTGACCTGTGATGGTAACTGTGATGGTGCCTGTGATGGTGCCTGTGATGGTACCTGTGATGGTACCTGTGATGGTACCTGTGATGGTGCCTGTGATGGTGTCTGTGATGGTACCTGTGATGGTACCTGCGATGGTACCTGCAATGGTACCTGTGATGGTACCTGCGATGGTACCTGCGATGGTGCCTGTGATGGTACCTGTGATGGTGCCTGTGATGGTACCTGTGATAGTGTCTGTGATAGTGTCTGTGATGGTACCTGTGATGGTACCTGTGATGGTACCTGTGATGGTGCCTGTGATGGTACCTGTGATGGTGCCTGTGATGGTACCTGTGATAGTGTCTGTGATAGTGTCTGTGATCGTACCTGTGATGGTACCTGTGATGGTACCTGTGTGATGGTGTCTGTGATGGTACCTGTGATGGTACTTGTGTGATGGTGTCTGTGATGGTACCTGTGATGTTGCCTGTGATGGTACCTGTGTGATGGTGTCTGTGATGGTGTCTGTGATGGTACCTGTGATGGTGGCTGTGATGGTACCCGTGATGGTGCCTGTGATGGTACCTGTGATGGTACCTGTGTAATGGTACCTGTGATGGTACCTGTGATGGTACCTGTGATGGTGCCTGTGATGGTACCTGATGGTACCTGTGATGGTACCTGTGATGGTACCTGTGATGGTGCCTGTGATGGTGCCTGTGATGGTACCTATGATGGTACCTGTGATGGTACCTGTGATGGTGCCTGTGATGGTACCTGTGATGTGCCTGTGATGGTACCTGTGATGGTACCTGTGATGGTGTCTGTGATCGTACCTGTGATGGTACCTGTGATGGTGTCTGTGATGGTACCTGTGATGGTACCTATGATGGTGCCTGTGATGGTGCCTGTGATGGTACCTGTGATGGTACCTGTGTGATGGTGTCTGTGATGGTACCTGTGATGGTACCTGTGTGATGGTACCTGTGATGGTACCTGTGTGATGGTACCTGTGATGGTACCTGTGATCGTACCTGTGATGGTACCTGTGATGGTGTCTGTGATGTTACCTGTGATGGTGCCTGTGATGGTGCCTGTGATGGTGTCTGTGATGGTGCCTGTGATGGTACCTGTGATGGTGCCTGTGATGGTACCTGTGATGGTACCTGTGATGGTACCTGTGATGGTGCCTGTGATGGTGTCTGTGATGGTACCTGTGATGGTGCCTGTGATGGTACCTGTGATGGTGCCTGCGATGGTACCTGTGATGGTACCTGTGTGATGGTACCTGTGATGGTACCTGTGATGGTGCCTGTGATGGTACCTGATGGTACCTGTGATGGTACCTGTGATGGTACCTGTGATGGTGCCTGTGATGGTGCCTGTGATGGTACCTATGATGGTACCTGTGATGGTACCTGTGATGGTGCCTGTGATGGTACCTGTGATGTGCCTGTGATGGTGCCTGCGATGGTACCTGTGATGGTACCTGTGTGATGGTACCTGTGATGGTGCCTGTGATGGTGCCTGTGATGGTGCCTGTGATGGTGTCTGCGATCGTACCTGTGATGGTACCTGTGTGATGGTACCTGTGATGGTACCTGTGATGGTACATGTGATGGTACCTGTTATGGTACCTGTGATAGTACCTGTGATGGTACCTGTGATGGTGCCTGTGATGGTTTCTGTGATGGTACCTGTGATGGTACCTGTGATGGTGCCTGCGATGGTACCTGAGATGGTACCTGTGTAATGGTACCTGTGATGGTAACTGTGATGGTGCCTGTGATGGTACCTGTGATGGTACCTGTGATGGTGCCTGTGATGGTGTCTGTGATCGTACCTGTGATTGTACCTGTGATGGTGCCTGTGATGGTACCTGTGATGGTGCCTGCGATGGTACCTGTGTGATGGTACCTGTGATGGTACCTGTGTAATGGTACCTGTGATGGTACCTGTGATGGTGCCTGTGATGGTACCTGTGATGGTACCTGTGATGGTGCCTGTGATGGTGTCTGTGATCGTACCTGTGATTGTACCTGTGATGGTGTCTGTGATGGTGTCTGTGATGGTGCCTGTGATGGTGCCTGTGATGGTACCTGTGATGGTGCCTGTGATGGTACCTGTGATGGTGCCTGTGATGGTACCTGTGATGGTGCCTGTGTGATGGTACCTGTGATGGTACCTGTGATGGTGCCTGTGATGGTACCTGTGATGGTACCTGTGATGGTGCCTGTGATGGTGTCTGTGATCGTACCTGTGATGGTACCTGTGATGGTGCCTGTGATGGTGCCTGTGATGGTACCTGTGATGGTACCTGTGATGGTGTCTGTGATGGTGTCTGGGATGGTACCTGTGATGGTACCTGTGATGGTGCCTGTGATGGTGCCTGTGATGGTACCTATGATGGTACCTGTGATGGTACCTGCGATGGTGTCTGTGATCGTACCTGTGATGGTACCTGTGTGATGGTACCTGTGATGGTACCTGTGATGGTGTCTGTGATGGTACCTGTTATGGTACCTGTGATGGTACCTGTGATTGTACCTGTGATGGTGCCTGTGATGGTGCCTGTGATGGTACCTATGATGGTACCTGTGATGGTACCTGTGATGGTGCCTGTGATGGTACCTGTGATGGTGCCTGTGATGGTACCTGTGATGGTACCTGTGATGGTGTTTGTGATCGTACCTGTGATGGTACCTGTGATGGTGCCTGTGATGGTGCCTGTGATGGTACCTGTGATGGTACCTGTGATGGTGTCTGTGATGGTGTCTGGGATGGTACCTGTGATGGTACCTGTGATGGTGCCTGTGATGGTGTCTGTGATGGTGTCTGTGATGGTACTTGTTATGGTACCTGTGATGGTACCTGTGTGATGGTACCTGTGATGGTACCTGTGTGATGGTACCTGTGATGGTACCTGTGATGGTACCATGTGTGGAAATATTCCTAAACAGGTGTTTATTGGTGACTCAAAATTAATGACAACTCACCAAGATATTCTGTCGCCACTGGCAATGTTTACACTGACTACATGGTTCCAAACTTTATAAGAACTTAAGTTATCAGATCAATGTTTACACTGACTACATGGTTCCAAATTTTATAAGAACTTAAGTTATCAGATCAATGTTTACACTGACTACATGGTTCCAAACTTTATAAGAACTTAAGTTATCAGATCAATGTTTACACTGACTACATGGTTCCAAACTTTATAAGAACTTAAGTTATCAGATCAATGTTTACACTGACTACATGGTTCCAAACTTTATAAGAACTTAAGTTATCAGATTAATGTTTACACTGACTACATGGTTCCAAACTTTATAAGAACTTAAGTTATCAGATTAATGTTTACACTGACTACATGGTTCCAAACTTTATAAGAACTTAAGTTATCAGATCAATGTTTACACTGACTACATGGTTCCAAACTTTATAAGAACTTAAGTTATCAGATCAATGTTTACACTGACTACATGGTTCCAAACTTTATAAGAACTTAAGTTATCAGATTAATGTTTACACTGACTACATGGTTCCAAACTTTATAAGAACTTAAGTTATCAGATTAATGTTTACACTGACTACATGGTTCCAAACTTTATAAGAACTTAAGTTATCAGATCAATGTTTACACTGACTACATGGTTCCAAACTTTATAAGAACTTAAGTTATCAGATCAATGTTTACACTGACTACATGGTTCCAAACTTTATAAGAACTTAAGTTATCAGATCAATGTTTACACTGACTACATGGTTCCAAACTTTATAAGAACTTAAGTTATCAGATTAATGTTTACACTGACTACATGGTTCCAAACTTTATAAGAACTTAAGTTATCAGATTAATGTTTACACTGACTACATGGTTCCAAACTTTATAAGAACTTAAGTTATCAGATCAATGTTTACACTGACTACATGGTTCCAAACTTTATAAGAACTTAAGTTATCAGATCAATGTTTACACTGACTACATGGTTCCAAACTTTATAAGAACTTAAGTTATCAGATCAATGTTTACACTGACTACATGGTTCCAAACTTTATAAGAACTTAAGTTATCAGATCAATGTTTACACTGACTACATGGTTCCAAACTTTATAAGAACTTAAGTTATCAGATCAATGTTTACACTGACTACATGGTTCCAAACTTTATAAGAACTTAAGTTATCAGATCAATGTTTACACTGACTACATGGTTCCAAACTTTATAAGAACTTAAGTTATCAGATTAATGTTTACACTGACTACATGGTTCCAAACTTTATAAGAACTTAAGTTATCAGATTAATGTTTACACTGACTACATGGTTCCAAACTTTATAAGAACTTAAGTTATCAGATCAATGTTTACACTGACTACATGGTTCCAAACTTTATAAGAACTTAAGTTATCAGATCTTGCACGAACACTTCGTTGGGTCTCTTACGACACAGACTTCACACCTAATCAATTTGACTCTAGATTCAAGGATTGGACACGACAAGGATTTACTTCCTATTGTAACTTGATAAGAACTTGTTGCCAACTTTCCAAATGTTACAAAGAAAGTATAAATTAGAGAAAAATGATTTTTTTAGATACCTACAAGTAAGACAATATTTATCAACAAAACTATCAAAACCAGAACTGGGCTCAAATCAATTAATTAAGCTGATTTCACAATCATATACCAAAAAATATACATCTATTATTTCTAAACTATATCAGGGATTAGCAACTAGCAGGAGAAAATCAACCAATTAAATCAACTAGCAGGAGAGAATCAACCATTTAAATCAACTAGCAGGAGAGAATCAACCAATTATATCAACTAGCAGGAGAGAATCAACCATTTAAATCAACTAGCAGGAGAGAATCAACCAATTAAATCAACTAGCAGGAGAGAATCAACCAATTATATCAACTAGCAGGAGAGAATCAACCAATTAAATCAACTAGCAGGAGAGAATCAACCAATTAAATCAACTAGCAGGAGAGAATCAACCAATTATATCAACTAGCAGGAGAGAATCAACCATTTAAATCAACTAGCAGGAGAGAATCAACCAATTATATCAACTAGCAGGAGAGAATCAACCAATTATATCAACTAGCAGGAGAGAATCAACCAATTAAATCAACTAGCAGGAGAGAATCAACCAATTAAATCAACTAGCAGGAGAGAATCAACCAATTATATCAACTAGCAGGAGAGAATCAACCAATTAAATCAACTAGCAGGAGAGAATCAACCAATTAAATCAACTAGCAGGAGAGAATCAACCAATTATAATCAACTAGCAGGAGAGAATCAACCAATAAATCAACTAGCAGGAGAGAATCAACCATTAATCAACTAGCAGGAGAGAATCAACCATTATATCAACTAGCAGGAGAGAATCAACCAATTCACATAAATCAACTAGCAGGAGAGAATCAACCATTTATATCAACTAGCAGGAGAGAATCAACCAATTATATCAACTAGCAGGAGAGAATCAACCAATTAAATCAACTAGCAGGAGAGAATCAACCATTTATATCAACTAGCAGGAGAGAATCAACCAATTATATCAACTAGCAGGAGAGAATCAACCAATTATATCAACTAGCAGGAGAGAATCAACCAATTATATTGTATACGAGGCAAACGTACAAGACAATATAAATAATTTTTATGACCATCTCTGTATGGTACTGGACAAGGAGCTTAATAGATACAGAACAAATAGGAAAACACCTGGAAAAGCAATGGGAAGCACAGAATTAAACCGCCATTTTGGAACAGTGAATTACAGAATTTGTGGGAAAAATTTCATTTTGCTGAGAAAAAGTTTTTGAAATGCAAAGACCACATGCTAAAAAAAGAGCTGTATGATGATTTTAGAGAAAATCAATCTAACTTTGATAAGAAACTCAGATTCTACAAGAGGCGTTATAAGAGAGGCAAAGCCCTTCAGTTGGACCATTTGAAACAAAGTAATGCTCAACATTTCTGGAGAGAAATAAACAAACTTGTGCCGAAAAGAAAACAGACAACTCCTTTTGAAATAGTGACAATAAGAGACATTAAGTGGGGAATCTGTTTTTCAGACAGATCAGGAACTGAACAGGTGGGAGTTGGATTATCGCTGTCTGTTTGCTTTTCACACCTCCCTCCAGTTTGATGATGTATTCCTAACTGATGTCTGTAGTGTATTTTGTCCTGTTTTAATGACCTCTTGAATAGAGTGATTACACTGGAGCAGGTGCGGATAGCTACTGAGAAAACTAAACCACACAAGGCAGTGGGTGTGGATGATCTGTCCAACGAGGGGCTCAAAAGCCCAAAGTTGTTAAGTGTTTTGCATTGTCTATTTAAATATTGTTTTCAGAATGGGGTTATACCATCAATCTGGTATAAATCTATCATCAAGCCTATTCCAAAATCATCTCAAGCTGACCCCAGAGTCCCTTTGAACTATAGAGGCATAAGTTTATTAAGTAGAGTTTATAAGGTGTTTTCTGCCATCCTGAATAACCGCTCTGTGAATTTATAGAAGTGAATGAAATATTGGTGGATGAGCAGAATGGATTCAGGAATGTATTGACCACATTTATGCTCTATCCTCAGTAGTGAGAGCTAGACTTCAAGAAGGCAAGGATACCTTTGTGTGTTTTGTTGATTTTAAAAAAGCCTTTGACTGGATAAATTGAGATCTGTTGGAATTGAAGTTACTTAAGTTTTAATATTTTTACACAACTGTTGGATTCGATGGTGGGACCACATTAGTCCTGACTAGAACCAGGAAGTACGACCACATTAGTCCTGACTAGAACCAGGAAGTACGACCACATTAGTCCTGACTAGAACCAGGAAGTACGACCACATTAGCCCTGACTAGAACCAGGAAGTACGACCACATTAGTCCTGACTAGAACCAGGAAGTACGACCACATTAGTCCTGACTAGAACCAGGAAGTACGACCACATTAGTCCTGACTAGAACCAGGAAGTACGACCACATTAGTCCTGACTAGAACCAGGAAGTACGACCACATTAGTCCTGACTAGAACCAGGAAGTACGACCATATTAGTCCTGACTAGAACCAGGAAGTACGACCACATTAGTCCTGACTAGAACCAGGAAGTACGACCACATTAGTCCTGACTAGAACCAGGAAGTACGACCATATTAGTCCTGACTAGAACCAGGAAGTACGACCACATTAGTCCTGACTAGAACCAGGAAGTACGACCACATTAGTCCTGACTAGAACCAGGAAGTACGACCACATTAGCCCTGACTAGAACCAGGAAGTACGACCACATTAGCCCTGACTAGAACCAGGAAGTACGACCACATTAGTCCTGACTAGAACCAGGAAGTACGACCACATTAGTCCTGACTAGAACCAGGAAGTACGACCACATTAGTCCTGACTAGAACCAGGAAGTACGACCACATTAGTCCTGACTAGAACCAGGAAGTACGACCACATTAGTCCTGACTAGAACCAGGAAGTACGACCACATTAGTCCTGACTAGAACCAGGAAGTACGACCACTTAGTCCTGACTAGAACCAGGAAGTACGACCATATTAGTCCTGACTAGAACCAGGAAGTACGACCACATTAGTCCTGACTAGAACCAGGAAGTACGACCACATTAGTCCTGACTAGAACCAGGAAGTACGACCACATTAGTCCTGACTAGAACCAGGAAGTACGACCACATTAGTCCTGACTAGAACCAGGAAGTACGACCACATTAGTCCTGACTAGAACCAGGAAGTACGACCACATTAGTCCTGACTAGAACCAGGAAGTACGACCACATTAGTCCTGACTAGAACCAGGAAGTACGACCACATTAGTCCTGACTAGA